TATAAACAGCTTCAGCATACACTATAGACAAGTATTTTACTGTGCTGCTCTATTAGCTTCAGAAGAGTATGGTCTCTATAGAAAGGCATCATGTAACTGTTAGGGATCTACTAGAATTTTATTTTTCCTTAGCAGCCCTCTATTAAAGATCTGAGAGGCTTCTGTTAAAGTCCTACTTGAAAACCAGTTTCCAAAGTGAATTTAGCCACTTGAATCCACTAGTAAGTATTTGCAAAGGACAGAAGCTCCCGAACATACAACATTTCTAACTCAAAGTTCCTGATCTACACCAAGCTTTAGCCCACCAGCGTCTTCTCCATTTAGCTCCTTCACACACTTTTATTACATTGTGAGCATTTCAGTCAGAAACTAGGGTCATAAACTTCTCCATTGGAAAGCATTTATAGCTATTTGGACTGAATTATTCTGTTCAAGAGGTTATAATAATAAAGGAAGCTTACAAGCGTACTTCTTCCAAACCCTAGTATGTCACTGCCAGTTTGGAAAATTGGCTCACTATTTATCTTTGTTTGGCTCCTCTAGATTCTCAAATTTCTTGCTTTGAAGCTATACTGGACAAACAAAAAACTTAATGTTACCTCACATCAGCATCGGGAAGAATATAAAAAATTTTACTTCTCATTTATTCCAACTTCAGATTCACAGTTGAATATAAATATTGTCAGAGTTTCAAACAGTATTAAAATGTTAAAATCCTGCCAAAGTTTACAGCCTAGTTATATCCTGCCACAGAAAATTTGTTCTGTTTTTCAATTTTATGAAGTCTCTGGCAAGAAACAACCCAGCTCCTTACATTCATATACATACATACATGATTAGTCTTATTTCACTGTAGCCTAATCAAACTGGCCAACTCACTTTCTCTACTCCCAAACATTTGCATCATCGGGGGTGTGCACAAGGGGGAGCAAGCAGGGGCACTGGCCCAACCCCCCCAATCATCGACAGGGGCACAAAACTCCTCCGGCCATGGTGGGAGCTGACAGTTCCTCCAGCCCCAGGGCTGCAGTGGGGAGAACGAGCTCCTCGGGCCCTGGGGTCATGGCGGGGGCACAGAATATGCCCCTCCAAAAGCAGTGAAATTTTAATTCATGTGCATGCCCCTGCACAACATATACCATCTCTCGATCACCCATTCCTGCACAGCAGAATGTAACAGCAGAACTTTTCCTCCTCCTCTAGTGACTGACTCACTCAAAAAAAACCCCCACAAACAAACCACACATGCACGGTCCTAGTAGGGTCAAGGACTTTTTATTGAGGCTTTTCACCCTCTTGCACTCTACTAAAGTTCTAGTCCCATCCCCTCATTCTAGTGCAGACATTTTAACAGCAATGTCCTCGTTTCCAAAGAAACAGCTTGTCCCTCTGCCTTCTACCTAGCCTCAGCACATTTAAGGAGCAAGTGACCCAAAACTTCTCTAATTGAGAGTCCTGCAATGTACTATGAGCTCCCATATGAGCCATCAGAACAGTCAATAAACTTCAAATCATTTTTTCAAAGAGGAAGGACTTACGTGAATGTCACATCCCACTCTCAACCCACCTACGATGACTCACTTCACCAGCTTAACCTAGAGAAGGCCCAGAGCTTTGAAGAGCTGAATAAGAATAAGAACTGCCTTAAAGTTTTCTGTTCAGCGTGTAGGCAGGGACAACGGCAAATAAGGATAGATGTGCTCAAAATGAAATGCTACACAGCAATAACTTGGCCCTGTGTTCAGGATCAGATTATAGGCCCAACACCTCCATTATCCAGCTATCTCAACTCCGTTGCCCAGATGGTCTCTGCCAACCTTGTAGGATCAACACGACACTGAATTACTGCCCTCTGCCACCAGCTAGCTCTGCTTTTTGGCAAATTTGGCTCCCTATTGTAGTTAGAGAATCTTTCCAAACCTCATTTCTCTGAGTCAAATCTTGCAATGTTAAAGAGGCTCATCCACAAGAATGACAATAACCTTTTTCCTCTTGGCTATTTCTGGCACGAGGATTAGGATTAATATTAATTTACCCTTAATCAGTCTACTCTTCTGATGCAGCAGCCAATCTAGTATACTAGACATGTGAAGGGTTCCCATTGCCTGTTGTACCTTCAACATGTCCCATGTGTACTCACGTCACTTAGTGGATTGGATTTGTAACAAGTTTTTTTTTTTTTAATTTTTCACCTACCCAAAATTTTTGTGAACCTCAACGTTATGCATTAGAAGAAGAAAAAATAATGCTAAAGAGAAAAAATAGGGCTTTAGTACTACACATAGTTAGGCCCTTTTACCAGCAATGAGGCCTATGCTACAATGTGCTGGCTGGGAGTTGAGGACTCTTAGCATCTTTCAGGATCCCTCTGCACCTTGGATTGTGCAGGGAGTCCTCTGATCTCTTCACTGGGGATGAGCTCTTCCCCCTTCGGACTAGGAGTCTGTCAGCCAGGGAAGAATTTTAAAAGAGCTGCATTGCAGCCCAATAGTATCACGCTCTCTCTGAATGAGCTCCAGAAAGGAGCTGTGTTAAACAGAATAGGAAGGGCCATGCAGCCCCAAAACTATCCCTGTACATGGAAAAAAAAATAAGAAAGGGATAATCAGGAGAAGATTAGACTGGCTCATCCTCTCTGCTGAATTCTAGCAGTCAGTGAGTCAAGGAAGCCCATGACCCCCACTTCACTTCTAGAAAGTTTTGTTTATTTTAAACCTGTATGGTAGGCCAAGCCCAATGCCTGTCCAACACCCTACTCTTGTCTGAGCTGGAAGTAATTCCGGCAGGCTGTGAGACTGCTGGGAGTTATGAAGTGCGGGAGCAAGGAAACTCATTCGTTTGAATGCTTAGTCTCCTTGCCCTAGGGTAGCTCTGCAACTCCCTGCTACCACAGAGCTGGGTTTTAAAACGTTTGTTTTGGAATATGAGTGACAAGTTATCCTTTCTGCTGAGTAGGTTGGCCTTCTAAGGTGCCAGCTTCTGGGGCCTTCTGGGGTTTGTGCTGGATCATGCTCATAAGCAATGAGACCCAACAGGCAGTGCATGTTTTGGCAATTATATCCTTGAGAGGTATTTATAGCCACAAGGCCAAAAGCTGAGTTACTTTAACCACCCAAGCAGCACCAAAAATCACATTGCAGTTCAAGGTCTCGAGTTTCTCATGGCTAATCTGAAATATAGTTCAGCAATAAATAGGAGGGAAATTGTCCCCTTTATACATTGAATAGGCACTATTGCACAGGTATGACAACCAATCACAAAGCTCCATTTGCGTCCAGCATTCTAGACAAACGTATTACTGATAATCTTATGATTTAACAACATAAGAGCATTTGTGCATGTGACAGAATTGGGGTTTAAATAAATGTATTCATGTAGAGAGGCTAATTTAGCCTCTTTCTTCCATACAAAATATAGGGCTTTCACCACTGCGTTCTATCTTTGGCAGTCTCTTGCTGCAGTCTTGGCTTCTTCCCATGTCAATTTGATAGCTTTCAGTTCTGCTTCTGCTGTGTATTTCCAAGTTGTCCTTGGTCTATCCTGTCACCTCTTGGTCTGGGGATTCCAGTCCAATGTGTGTCTTGTTAGGTTGTTTGGTTATTTCTTCCATGTGCGTCCTACCCACCCACTTTTTCCCATAATTTCCTGTCCTATCAGTTTGTTTCATCCTTCTCCAGAGCAATTCATTTCAGATTTTTTTCTGGCTATCTAATGTTCAGAATTTGTCTAAGGCATTTGTTTATAAAACCTTGAACTTTAGATAGTATGGTCTTGATAAGTCTCCAAATTCAGCACCATATAGTAAGACAGATTTTACAATGGTGCTAAATATTCAAAGTTGAGTTTGGAAGGCCAGGTTTCTGCTTCTCCAGTTCAGCTTTAGGGTTTCAAAGGCATATCTGCCTTTTGCTATTCTGCACAAAGAAACATCACGGATATGTAGGAATACTCTTAAGCAAACCTTTTATAGAAATAAATGTCTTTAAAAGAATAAGTTTCTTGTATGTGAACATTAGTCACACATAAGAGATCTCAGATGACAGTGAATTGTTCAAAACCTTCAGAAATCCACACATGGCAACAGTGTAATACCTTGGATTGTGTATTAATAATAATAAAGTTTCTTACTGAGGTGATAGGATTGTATGTACAGAGTGGCAGGGCCGGCTCCAGCTTTTTTTCCGCCCCAAGCGGCGAAGCGGGGGGGGGAGGGGGGGAGGGGAGATAAAGCCCATCAGCGGCAGCTCAATCGTGCTGCTTCTTTCTTCTGCGGCAATTCAGCGGTGGGTCCTTCGCTCCCTCTCTTCCTCTTCGGTGGCACCTCAAAGAGGAAGAGAGGGACTGAGGGACTTGCCGCCGAAGACCCAGACATGCCGCCCCTTTCCATTGGCCACCCCAAGCACCTGCTTCCTTTGCTGGTGCCTGGAGCCGGCCCTGCAGAGAGGGAGGCACTAAATATGCTGTAGTTCCCCCAGTCAGTTCATCCATGCAGCCGCACTAGCATTTTCAAAAAATACAGCCACTTATCTGGTCTTTCAACTGAAGGACTGGTGTTTATGACCCCAACTACCTATATGAAAGAACTGGAAAAATATTCAGTAAAGGGACAAATTCCACTACATTTCTGTGCACACCCAGACAGGGTCGGCAAAGCAGAGCTTTCTGCAGCAGATCTGGCTGAAGCAACTAGATTCAATTTGGGCAGGTGGGCTGACAAAAGAAAGAAGATAAAACAGACTAACTGGTAAATCCTTCAGTTGTTAATTTGCTGTATCATATGTTGTCAGAGTCACCACATTTTTAAAAAAAAATTCTCACTGATTTAAATAGAGACATATGTAAAGAGCAAGAGATGGAACTTTTTGATATTTTCACTGGCATGTTGTTGCTGTAACATAAATACTACTACTATTGGAATATATCCAGAAAAAAATGGAAGGCAAAGTTGTGGGGAAAATTAATGAACCACCACATTAAAAAGCATATTGCCAGTTTCCTACCTGAAGAATATTCATCAATCCTTGCTGTCCTGTGACAATGCTTCAGCAACCGGGCGAAAGAAAGAGATATGGCCAATTCCCTGTACATTTAAAAGAGAAACATAGACATGTCATACTATGCAAAACCACAAAACTAACTTTCAATAGGACACCAATAAACTGATACAGAAAAATAAAGACTTGCCAAAACTGGTTCATATGTTTCCATTGAAATTATTCTTTTGGGATGGCTCTGTGTTGTATAGCTAATTAAGTATTTTATTCCACAAATTCAGACAGAATTGTGGTGTATTAATGAGCTCAGGATGACTTCATTTTGGATAGAAAGCTCAGGGCAAAACAAATGAAAAACAAATCATAACGATAAATAATAATTAAAGCAGAAACCAGCAATGAATTCACCAGATATATCTGCTATGAAATGGAATAAAAATAAAAGCCATCTAAGTTTAAAGATCTGTCTCCTATGCTGTGTCCAGAGAGATGCTTGTTCTTGTTCATTTACACAGAAAGCAGAAAAATCAGCTTTACAGTTCTCATAGGAAAAGGAAAATGGTTTGCAAATGGTTATAGAGAGAGAGAGAATGACTTGTTTATTCTAAATGTGAAACATATGGTTTTTCTCAAAGCTTTGTTCTATTTTTAATTTCAGTTGGAAAGCTCTATCTTCCTAAACTGTCTTCGTATAAAAAATATTTTTGAATTTTGGACACAATGTTCTCCAGATTTATGTTCTGGATATAATATTATCACACAAATAAGACAAGCTTCTGCAACTCAGAAAAGTGACAACACAGCAGAAGTTATTTTTCTAATCAAGTATTAAATTGGTAAAACTACTCAGATTCTCTACTGTGTTAATGTTAGATACATCTCCTTGATTACTAGAGAGTAACCATGCAGTAAGCTATTAAATTAACCTTGCAGATTCAATGCAATGCAAACCTCTTCCATATTTGCTAGCATGTCTCCTTAAACCTCGTGGGCAAATCATGCTTTCTAGGGCACCGAAAAGGTACTACTGCATAATATACTTGGGAGGCTGATTTTATGAACACCAGTGCACATTTTATTTTAAATAAAACCCATATCACACATTTCCCCCCCTTATGTATATCACAGAATTATCGTGGACTAAGGTGAGAGACAATTTCTCACAGGAGGTCCTATCCAATTTCCTAGCAATCTGTAACACATGGAGGAGTGTTCTGTCACTGTGATACAGCTACCTTAGCTGTCAGTCTCACCCTAAATAGAGATAGCAAAGCATCATTCCCTGTACAATCTAAGGGATGTGGCTGCATTGATCTCAATTTTATTTCTGTGTTAGTAAGAAATGAAACACATGAAATCCACTCACAAATATCTGGCTCTCTTTTATAAAGCTTACAATACCACCTCTGATACCAGCACACTTAAGAATATTTTCATTTAAGGTTGAGGTTTTAACTCCCTCTGACCAAAGCAAGAACGTTTAGAGTTGTAACTATTCTTAACAGACATCACGGGCAGCGGATATAATACGCTGCCAACCCGCCGCCGAACACCTCGGGGACCTTCAGGGGCGGAAGAAGCTGGCACTTGGGGCGCTAGCGGCTCAGGCCTGGCGCGGGGGCAGTGGCTTGGCGGGGGCGGCCTTCAGGGCCAGGAGGGGCTGGCAGCTCGAGGGGCCAGCCTGGCGCTTGGGGGGCCGGCGGCTCGTCCAGGCACTGGCAGCCAGCAGCTCGTTACCTTGCTACAGTTTCAAGCTCAACAGCGTGAAAAATCACCTCTGGTGCTCTTCCCAAACTTGGAGACTCCAGGAACACATGAAGTCCAAGGATAGTGACCACAGACACAATCACAAGTACAAACTCTTTTTCTGTACTACAAGTTTTATTAAAGCAATAAGTAATATTACAATTACCCATTCATACAGAAATCCTACAAAAACCCATGCAATGACTAATACTGTAGACTTAGGCTTGGCCCACACTGGGGCGGGGGATCGATGTAGGAAACGCAACTTCAGCTACGAGAATAGCGTAGCTGAAGTCGACGTTTCCTAGATCGAACTAAGTTTACTTACTGCGGGTCCACACGGCACAGGCAAGCTCCCCCATCGACAGCGCTTCCTCCTCTCGGCGAGCAGGAGTTCCGCAGTCGACGGGGGAGCGCTTCTGGGATCGATTTATCGCGTTCAGATGAGATGCGATAAATCGATCCCAGAAAATCGATCTCTACCCGCCGAATCAGGCGGGTAGTGTGGACCTAGCCTCATTCACATCCTCAGAAGATATTCTAGGTTCTGATGGATCTCTCAGATGATCATCAGTAAAGGGATGGTTCCTGCTGGGGTTTCCTGTGGGGTCTTGACTTTTACCCAACCAGGGAACCTCTTTTATATTGTTCTTCTCACCTCACCTAACACATATGCATGAGGGGTTTCAACCCTCTTTTCCTTATTTGTACTTCCACAGTCCATGAATATTGGGTTGCCCCCTTTTTCATAGGTTGTTTCTTAGTTCCTTGTGTTCTCATTAGAATCTATGCACAACATGTACTCTGCGGTCAGGAAGGACATTCCATGATGTCACAATCAGGTGTCTTGTGATCTTGGACAATAAATTGCAGTTTATTATGTTATGTTTCCATAACATTGTTTTACAGTAATGTACCAACAGGCAACCTTGTGACCTTACTGCCATAGGGTTATTCCTAGGTCACCCACTCATGTCAAGCATTTTAAAGCCTACGGCCTAGTCTGGCTAAGGTAAAAATTTTACAGGCTTCAGCCTTTGCATTCCAGGTCATGCTTGTTTATATTTACACACACACACACACACACACACACACACACACACACATATTCCGTTACTTTACCAGACCTCTGTGACTTCTTTGGCTTCAGCTATGGCTGCAGCCAGGGCTGTGGGTGACCCCCCAGCTCTGCTCATCCCTGCAACTCGGGCTGTGAGCTGCGCTGACCCACAGCCAGGGCTGTGCTATAGGAATTTTCTATCTTTTGACTGCTTGGTTACTCATACCAAACAATGCATTCACAGTAGTTTTAGGCATTTAACTTCCTGCTTTGTTTTTTCTGAGAATAAGGGGAAGAAGTATTAGTATATGCACTGCCTCCTGACTTTACCTCAACTGTACCTTAACCAAGCAGTCCTATATCCAGAAGGACTTAAGTGAGGCCTCCTTAGCTCAGTAGTTGTTAACTGAGCACAGGCCAAGGCTGAACATTCACTGCAAGATCACTATGATTGTACATTTTTCATCATCGTCCACATATCTTAATCCCAGAAAGGAAAATCCTGAAGGACCATTTTCTAAATCTTCTTTATAGCATATTTGCACGACTTAGGTGGTATAGAAGAACCATAACCCAGATGCAAATGACCAGCAGAGAATGCCCCATTGAAGGGAACTCCCTATTGCTACTTCCTCTGCTTCCCGCTCTGGGCAAAATAAGTGAGTTGGAGAAGGGGCAGAGTGTTTTAGGGTGATTTTTTTCCCCATTTGTTTGGTTTTTTAGAAGCTTCAGAGAAGAACTCTGCCAAGTCAATCCTCCACTTTTGCAGGGTCCATTAAGGACGCTCTGACACTTGCAGAATTTACAAGCTACTCTGGAGTAGCTCCGACAGAGCTGATGGAAGAGAAGATCCGAGGTTTGGAGATGCAGGTAGACTCTGTGATTGAGTTTCGAAGGGGACTCAAGCAGATGGAGGGAAGGCAAGAGAAGACTAAAAGGAAAACTCAAGTCTCACAGATGCAAGCTGGACTGGAGAACATTGCAGGGTAGACTGCTGGGTAAGGAAAGTGGCCAGTGGAGGCATGTGACTACAAGAACCAGACAGAGGAAAAAGACCAGCTTGTGAAGGAGAAATAGAGCTCAGGAACAGATTTGCTGAGTTTGAAAATGAAGAAGGGGCATAGCAACCAGTAACAGAAGGTGGGAGGGCAAGGAGGAAGAGGAGAGTCACTAGTGCTACAAGAAGGGAAGAGATATCAATGGAAATAGCCAGAGTTTGAAGCCCCAGGACAGAGGATGACTCTCATAAGATTGCAAGGGAGAACAAAAGACAAGAGGACTTGCTGCAACACCAGGAAGAGGCAAGTCAACGTAAATGCTGATTCCCTACAAAGAAAAATGGACAGGCCTGTCACAGAGCTGATCCAGAGAACAGAACGGTGCACTATCTTCTGGGAGCAAAGATACAGGATGTGGACCTGAGGCCAAAGACAATCCTGATGGATGCAGGAAAGAATCCACTGATTGTCCTTCACGTGGGAACAAATGATATTGCTAGATTCTGGCTGAAATGCGTCAAGGGAGATTATGCCAGGCTGGGGAAGACATTAAGGAAACGGAGGCTCAGGTGATCTTCAGTGGGATTCTATCTGTCCCTAGAGAAGGAGAATAAAGGCAAGACAAGATGATTATCAACAGATGGCTCAGGCAGTGGTGCTATACGGAAAGCTTTGGGATGTTCAACAACTGGGAGTCACATTCATGGACAGAGGACTGTTCTCATGAGATGAGAGGGAAACAGACTTCTGGGATGGAGGTTGGCACCACTGATTAAAAGAGCTTCAAAACTAGGAATTCAGAGAAGGCAGTTGAAGACGGTTAGAAGATGCTCATGTAATCTCCACTGCTGATTTTAATATTGACCAGGAAGAAAATCAAAAAAGAGAGGATACAGCAATGAAGAAAGGAACAGCAGTGGATAGGAGAATGGACATCAAGAGGAAATATAACGCCAATACCAGTGAAAAGCAACAGAGGGTCCTGTGGCATGCCCACTTCATCAGACGCAAGTAATGGAAATTTCCAGAGGCAGGTATAAATCAGTATGGCGATAACGAGGTTAGTTCAATCAGGGAGGGTGAGGTGCTCTGCTAGCAGTTGAGGTGTGAACACCAAGGGAGGAAAAACTGCTTCTGTAGTTGGATAGCCATTCACAGTCTTTGTTTAATCCTGATCTGATGGTGTCAAATTTGCAAATGAACTGGAGCTCAGCAGTTTCTCTTTGGAGTCTGGTCCTGAAGTTTCTTTGCTATAAGATGGCTACCTTTACATCT